TATAATACAACCATATATAAATAGACTTATAATTGTATTACTTACATATTTTTATAACTGTTAGGAACGATCTCAGGAACCCAATTTCTTACATCTTCTTTGCATTAAATGAAACCTTTTTCTATGACATTTTTTAATGTTGACAAAACTTATTGATAGAAATGGGATTTGAAGCTGAGCTTTCAGAGATCACCAGAACATCCGAATCGACATTAATGGACAGGCAAATTTTGAGGCACCTTGGACCGCTCGACCTTCCTAACAATTGTTCTTGTACACGCCGTTAATACTACGACTTACAAGGAAAAATACAAAATTACAATAAAAATAAATCAATAGAGTTAATTATCACTTTGATGTGACGGAATCGCTTTTTCATATATTATACAAGTTTTCACAAATTCACGCGAACATTATAATGTTTTTGTGGATTATAGTGTTTATTTTACTAATTTTAATATATTTTGGATGTTTTATAATCAACAAATTAACATCTCTAATCCAAGTACATACCACTCCGAGATTTTAAAATACGTTATTTTGTTTATTGTGCATAAATCTGACAAAAAATATTGTGTAATGGCGGAATAAGAATATCCACTAACCCAACCATATCACCTCACTGACTCACCCACTTACCTCAAATCACATTGTAACGCCCCCTCCCCCTCTATATAAAAATAAAAATGAAATATTAAATATTTTATATTCCCCTTTATAATAAAAATTATATATATATATATATATATATATATATATATATATATATAATATATTTGTGACCAAGATAAATAAGATATGTTTTGATCTTTCTAAATGATCTTTCAAAAGGTTTATTAATAGGCCGTTTGTAATATTTTTGGCGTGATCGTCTTAGTTAGGACCCTTATTTACGTTGTGTTTGTTTAGTAACTTAGTTCTTTTAGGTGTCTTTTGGAAGAATGAATATTTACTAGAGTAATTAAAAGCTGTTGGTAGTGCCTTAAAAGCTAAGTGAACCCCGTTCACGAGGACAGGGCTCGAGAAAGGTTAAGAACATAAAATGTTCTATTCCACTTGTATCAGGTTTGCATTATTAATTTATTATTAATTATCCCTTCCCGATTGGAAAAGGTTCACAAAATATTTATACAAAATACCCGATACAAGGGCTTCGCTCTCCTACATTTATTTAAAAAAAATGTAGGGGAGGCACACGGCTCCACACACGCCATGCGCGGTGAGCCCCAACCATTTTGATGCACTCCCCCCGTAGGAAACGTTAATTAGGGAACTGGAACGTAGTCCACAGCAAATTAACTGGCGAACCAGCAAAAGAGGCTTGGCCCCTTGTTAGTGCGTAAGCACAAACATCGACCGAAGTCGCGCATGTCTATGCGTGTAAACGCCATACAGAATACGAACGAATCCAGCCACAGTGAATGTACGTCACACGGTTTAGGCAAATAAGCACACTGGCCGTAAACCCTCCGTGAGCGCCACCACCTGCCAGACCGCCGCTCCTGCAGACGTGATGTAAGTGTATGGCATCACCACCGATTGCATGATCAGCACGGCTACTAGCCGCAGAGCGTGTCATGAGTCTACCACTCACCTCAAGAGAATGGGCTCCCACGTTGTGCGGCTTTCGGCCGCAGCCCTGAGAGCTCCTCAGATCCTCCCGCCAGCTACCATCCGCATAAGGTCGACACTTATGCTCCACCAACCAATACAACGGCAGATATAGCCAAAAGGCAGTTATAAGATTAGAGTAATAATTCGCCATCAGAAAGGGTTTGTGTCACTGACGTTGAGTAAATGCATTTTCGATCATGTTTGTCTCACCCATCAACAAGTTGCTTTCAATCATTGAAAGATGGGAAAGTTACAGAGATATATTATTATGTTGTTATATAAAACATTATGGAGGGCAGACAGTCTGCAGCTCCGTAATGAAGGGACCCGACTTGCGCAAAGCTACTTAGATGTGAGTCAAACCAAGAAGCAGAGAGCGCCATTGATAATAGCGTAACACCAAACAACCATCGCAGAGACGCAATGCTGCAGAACGCAACAAGCATCAATACGACTATCGTCGGGCTTACACCATCCCAAGGTCCCCCATACATCCCAGCAGACATCACCACCCGCATACCTCCATCGAACAGAACCACAACAAGAGAGCATCGAATCAGGCGCAGCACACCCGCAGATCCATCACAAGACGCAATACCGCAAGTAGCAGTAAGCATCAATGCAACTATCATACGGATGGCGCCCCCTCACAACACACCCACATGATCCCTTTCGACTTTGGTAACAAAATTTGTATTGTTGTTAACTAAAAATATCACCAACGTATCATAGTAGCACGCTACTAAGACGCCAATGAACAAAACTCCACGTATCATAGCGCTAATGCACTAAGACATGAAGTTGAGTATGCCTGTTACACTTAAAAGTGCTACCAAACACACTCATCTTCCCAATCCGAAAGATAGACGACGCATCGCTATGCGCTACGACGCCGCCCACAAACGGTATGGGTATGCGATGTCCACGGGAAAGCCGTATTGCTACAACAAACCCGCTTACCACCGGCACTAAGATTGTTGTTATATAAAACTGTACCAACGTATCATAGTAGCACGCTACTAAGACGCCAGTGAACAAAACTTCACTTATCATAGCGCTAATGCACTAAGACATGAAGTTGAGTATGCCTGTTACACTTAAAAGTGCTACCAAATACACTCATCATCCCAATCCGAAAGATAGACGATGCATCGCTATGCGCTACGACGTCGCCCACAAACGGTATGGGTGTGCGATGTCCACGGTAAAGCCGTATTGCTACAACAAACCCGCTTACCACCGGCACTAAGATTGTTGTTATATAAAACTGCACCAACGTATCATAGTAGCACGCTACTAAGACGCCAGTGGACAAAACTCCACTTATCATAGCGCTAATGCACTAAGACATGAAGTTGAGTATGCCTGTTACACTTAAAAGTGCTACCAAACACACTCATCTTCCCAATCCGAAAGATAGACGACGCATCGTTTTGCGCTACGACGTCGCCCACAAACGGTATGGGTGTGCGATGTCCACGGGAAAGCCGTATTGCTACAACAAACCCGCTTACCACCGGCACTAAGATTGTTGTTATATAAAACTGTACCAACGTATCATAGTAGCACGCTATTAAGACGCCAATGAACAAAACTCCACTTATCATAGCGCTAATGCACTAAGACATGAAGTTTAGTATGCCTGTTACACTTAAAAGTGCTACTAAATACACTCATCATCCCAATCCGAAAGATAGACGATGCATCGCTATGCGCTACGACGTCGCCCACAAACGGTATGGGTGTGCGATGTCCACGGGAAAGCCATATTGCTACAACAAACCCGCTTACCACCGGCACTAAGATTGTTGTTATATAAAATTGCACCAACGTATCATAGTAGCACGCTACTAAGACGCCAGTGGACAAAACTCCACTTATCATAGCGCTAATGCACTAAGACATGAAGTTGAGTATGCCTGTTACACTTAAAAGTGCTAGCAAACACACTCATCATCCCAATCCGAAAGATAGACAACGCATCGCTATGCGCTCGATGTCGCCCACAAACGGTATGGGTGTGCGATGTCCACGGTAAAGCTGTATTGCTACAACAAACCCGCTTACCACCGGCACTAAGATTGTTGTTATATAAAACTGCACCAACGTATCATAGTAGCACGCTACTAAGACGCCCGTGGACAAAACTCCACTTATCATAGCGCTAATGCACTAGGACATGAAGTTGAGTATGCCTGTTACACTTAAAAGTGCTACCAAACACACTCATCATCCCAATCCGAAAGATAGACAACGCATCGCTAAGCGCTACGATGTCGCCCACAAACGGTATGGGTGTGCGATGTCCACGGTAAAGCTGTATTGCTACAACAAACCCGCTTACCACCGGCATTAAGATTGTTGTTATATAAAACTGCACCAACGTATCATAGTAGCACGCTACTAAGACGCCCGTGGACAAAACTCCACTTATCATAGCGCTTATGCACTAAGACATGAAGTTGAGTATGCCTGTTACACTTAAAAGTGCTACCAAACACACTCATCATCCCAATACGAAAGATATACGACGCATCGTTTTGCGCTACGACGTCGCCCACAAACGGTATGGGTGTGCGATATCCACGGTAAAGCCGTATTGCTACAACAAACCCGCTTACCATCTGCACTAAGATTGTTGTTACATAAAACTGCACCAACGTATCATAGTAGCACGCTACTAAGACGCCAGTGGACAAAACTCCACTTATCATAGCGCTAATGCACTAAGACATGAAGTTGAGTATGCCTGTTACACTTAAAAGTGCTACCAAACACACTCATCATCCTAATCCGAAAGATAGACGACGCATCGCTATGCGCTACGATGTCGCCCACAAACGGTATGGGTGTGCGATGTCCACGGTAAAGCCGTATTGCTACAACAAACCCGCTTACCACCAGTACTAAGATTGTTGTTATATAAACAATAATATACGCTAAGATTAATAATACGAGTAATATAATTACATTGTTAATTACTCGTATTACTAATCTTAGCTATTCAATTTATTCATTTGTATTTTCACAAGTAATATTCTACATTAAAGCCGTGAATTTCGACAACCGCTTTACTTTCTGTGTATTGCCGCTTATAGTATCAAACTTGGTTTATAAAACAAATGTACTTATTGCATATTATTTTCATATAAGATGTTATAGGAAAAAAATAGTTAATTATTACTGTGCACTTTTAATGCTTTGAATAAGTGTACATGACACAATTTTAATGCTTGAAATCTTATTTATAACTTTTTATTTAGTTGTTACCGTACATTTATTTTTTACACGAATAACCAACAAATACTTTATCTGGCACTATAAGTTGAATTTCTTATGTATAAATTTTATTCTTTTATTCATATTGAATGTTTCAAATAATCGTGATGGCTTCCTTACACGCTTACTACCAAAATGTTAGGGGCCTTAGATCGACAACTCATGAGTTTTATCGTAATGTTGCAATTAACAACTATGATCTTATCTCATTAACTGAGACCTGGTTATTGGATGGCATATTTGATGCGGAATTATTCGATGATCGTTATTGTGTTTGGCGTCGCGATCGTGATCTTAATCGAACTAAACAATCGCGAGGCGGTGGTGTGCTTATAGCGGTAAGCAAGAACATCGTAGCGGTAGACAAACCTGAGTGGCGTTCCTTAGCTGAAGATGTCTGGGTTTCATTGACGCTATCATGCCCTCGCTCTAAGCGCTACATAAAACTTAACATATGTACTGTATACCTTTGTAAAGAAAATATGGGTGCTTCCTTTTCTGATCATGTTATTAACTTTTGCAATACATTAGAGTCACTTATATCACCAAATCCTAATGACAAATTCCTCATTATAGGCGATTTTAATATGAGTTCTATTTTCTGGTCTAATACTCATACAGGTCTCGAAGCTTGCGGTGTTAAAGGTGAACATGTGCAATATTTATTGAAACTTTAAATTTCTGTAACTTGCAACAATTTAATCGAGCGTACAACACTTATAACCGTTTACTTGATCTCGTTTTATCCAATGACTATGTAAAAGTTGAACACTGCGAAAACCCCTTGGTGCCGGAAGACCAGCATCACAAAGCTTTATCAATTTGTGTTAACTTTGTCGAGCTTCAGTCCCTTCCATACTCTAAACATGTCTCATTCTCTTACAGTAAGGGCAATTATGATATAATAAACTTAGAGATAGGTTCGACTAATTGGGACGAAATTCTTAGTAGTGGTAACGTTGATGATGCGGTCAATACTTTTTACAACATAATATATAATATTCGTGATAAATATGTTCCCCCGTCATTAAAACACAAAAGAAAATATCAACCATGGTTTAACCATGCACTTGTAAAATTAATTAATAAAAAAATAAGTATCGTAGGAAGTTTAAAGTGTACGGTAATTTGAGTGATAAAAATATATAATATATATATTTTAAAAAAAGTCATTCTAAAATGTTTTGGTCCTATATCAGAAATAAAAAGAATAATATTTCATATCCTTCTTGTATGACGTACTCTGGTATATCTGCTAATTCAGGAGAAGATATTAGTAATCTCTTTGCTCAATATTTTAATTCTAACTTCATTCAATCTAGTAACTTAACAGTAAACTTAAATAATATAGCTGCCATAACTTCTAATGATATCTCTTCAATCGAAATTAGTTTTTGTAAAATAAAAAGGCTGCTAAAATCACTTGACTTAAACAAATCAGCTGGTCCTGACGGGATTCCGGCTATTTTCCTAACTAAGTGTGCCGAAACTATATCTAAACCTTTATCATTTATTTTTAAAAGATCTATTTCTGAGGGTTCAATGCCTGCAAGATGGAAATCCGCATTTATAACTCCCATTCATAAAAAAAAGTGCTAAAAATCAAATTGAAAACTACCGTCCTATATCAAAATTAAGTCTAATTGCCAAAGTATTTGAAAGAATTGTATATAACCTGTTTAATAAAAAGTTTTATCCTGCAATTAAACATACCTTTATCCCTCAACAGCACGGTTTTCTTCAGAAAAGATCAACTACGTCTAATCTTTTACTATTTACGGACTTTATTACTTATAACATGGATAAAGGAAACCAAATTGATGCCATTTTCACGGACTACAGCAAAGCATTCGATCGCATAGACCATTCTATACTTCTGCAAAAATTATCTGCTGCTGGTATCAGGGGCGATCTGTTTAGATGGTTTACGTCTTATATTTCTAACAGATCACAAGCGGTAATTTTAAACGGATTTACATCTTGCTGGACGGGTGTCCCTTCTGGCGTTCCGCAAGGTTCGCTACTTGGCCCTCTGCTCTTTGTCATATTTATCAATGATATTGCTGAATGCTTCCAGAACTCCGAGTTTTTGCTTTTCGCGGATGACATGAAAGTTTTTAGAGTAGTCAACAACTCTTATGATTCTAATCTCCTACAAAACGATCTTATTAACTTAGATAATTATTGTATCCGTAACAAATTAGACTTGAATGTTTCGAAGTGCAATACTATGTCTTTCGGGCGGAAGCGTGATATACTTTATTTTTCTTACACAATTAAAGGTTTGACAGTAACTAGATGTGATAAAATAAGGGACCTTGGAGTTACTATTGATACTAAGCTTTTGTTTGATCAGCATGTGGAAGATATCGTTAATAAAGCATATAAGGCTCTGGGTTTTATTTTAAGGTCTTGTTGCAAATTCCGTCAGTTAAAATCAATGAAAATATTGTTTTGTTCTCTTGTTCGTAGCCATCTCGAATATGCGTGTCAAGTATGGAATCCTCAATATAAAATATATATTAACAAAATCGAGGCGATTCAAAAAAAAATTCATTCAATATGTAGGTTCTAAATTTCATATATCCAAAGGAGGCTACGAATTGCAGTGTTCTCATCTTCATCTCCTCCCGCTGCAAACTAGGCGCTATACAGCTGACCTGGTCTTGCTAAGTAAAATTGCTCAAGATCGTTTAGACTGCCCTGACTTATTAAAAAGATTACATATCTCAGTTCCCTCTCGTTCACTGCGCTATTACAATCCCTTACATGTTTCTTTATGTAGATCAAATTACAGGCGAAACTCATTCTTCTTAAGAGCATGTAACTCATTTAATAAATTTTCTAAGGACTGTGATAAGGCTGACCTCTTTTCTACTAGTGGTACTACTATCTGCAAATTGATAACATCTGAATTCAGTAGCAATTTACTCTTGAACTCTTAAATCTAATCGACACCAATGTATAAATTATATCTACTTATATATGTTGCATGTATTTACTCAAACCGATTACTCATCTGTGAATACTTTTAATAGGCTTACTTTGTAAATTATATTATATACCATATAGTATTAATTAAAAGCTGTAACTTTTCCTGTTATAAATAAATAAATAAATAAAACTGCACCAACGTATCATAGTAGCACGCTACTAAGACGCCAGTGGACAAAACTCCACTTATCATAGCGCTAATGCACTAAGACATGAAGTTGAGTATGCCTGTTACACTAAAAAGTGCTACCAAACACACTCATCATCCCAATCCGAAAGATAGACGACGCATCGTTTTGCGCTACGACGTCGCCCACAAACGGTATGGGTGTGTGATGTCCACGGTAAAGCCGTATTGCTACAACAAACCCGCTTACCACCGGCACTAAGATTGTTGTTATATAAAACTGCACCAACGAATCATAGTAGCACGCTACTAAGACGCCAGTGGACAAAACTCCACTTATCATAGCGCTAATGCACTAAGACATGAAGTTGAGTATGCCTGTTACACTTAAAAGTGCTACCAAACACACTCATCATCCCAATCCGAAAGATAGACGACGCATCGCTATGCGCTACGACGTCACTCACAAACGGTATGGGTGTGCGATGTCCACGGTAAAGACGTATTGCTACAACAAACCCGCTTACCACCAGCACTAAGATGATATGTCTAGGACACATCGGTTAGCGAGTCCAAGTTTACCTCGGACCAAATGCTCGTGAAGCAGCATACACGCCACCATAATATTCCTTTTTTAAGTCCCTAATAAGGACTAGTCATTTTGCTACAGTACTAGGAGCAGTCGGTCACCCAACCACCCCATGCAATGCTTATGCATCAAGGAGACCTTCTATAATAATACTTTTATATCATAGACCTTACTTTCGTAAGTCATTCATATATAGGGCTCGAACCCACGACCCTACTATTGTAATGCAAATTCATCATAGAGACCTTCTATAGTATTGCTTTTGTATCATAGACCTTACTTTCATAAGTCATTAATATATAGGACTTCAACCCACGACCCCACTATTGTAAAGCAAATTCATCATGGAGACCTTCTATAGTATTGCTTTTGTATCATTGAATTTAATATCATAAGTCCCTAATATAGGACTAGTCATTGCGTTACAGTACTTCAAGCAGTCGGGCTCCCGACCACCCCATATATATGTACAACTGCAAGTATGTATCTCCGGCAGCTCCTCCATACAAGACATCTATACATGAACACCTTCCACAGTTTAGGAAAATTTTCTTTTATACGTGAACTCCTTCCACAACTTAGGAAATTTCTTTTATACATGAGTCCTTCCACAACTTAGGAAAATTTTCTTTTATACATGAAGGAGAAGATAGAAGGAGTCTAAGACTTAGACAATTTTTAACAAATTTTCTAATTATCTTATAAATGTTATTTATCTTTATTTTTATAATATTTTCGACTTGTATTCCTATTATTTATCTTATTTTAAATATATTTTCAAGTTTTTAATAAATTTATTTATTATGGAAGACAATATTTTGCCTTTAATTTACTGTTATTAGTCTAATGTCTGAAATATATTTATATTAACTTTATGTTTATTAATGTAATTTTATTGCTTAATATTTATATATATATATATATATATATATATATATATATATTTTAAGACTATTTTTGATCCCCCTTTATATTGAATTTAATTATTAATAATAATATTGGGCCGTCACAATATCATATCATCATCATATCTGCCAAGCGATTTTGACTGCTGACTTTTGATATTGTACTAGCTTTTTTTTTTTTTTTTTTTTTTGCGGATGGAAAATCATCTAATGACCCCTTTCGCTCTGGGTGGAGCGTAAGGGGAGTGTCAGACTTTTACTGACTAAAAACCATCCGTGTTCCTTCAGTGCCCTTACGTTCCGGAGCCGCGGTATCTCTTTCGAATAGCCCGCAGCCCCGGCAGGCGTCGGCCCTTGCGGGCCCCATCACGCTGCTGACAGCTCTTTGAGGCGCGCGTGGAACAAAACGCGCCGTCGACACGGCCTGTCGTCGTTAGACGGACGGACGACGAGCTACCCATTGCTCGCCGTCCACAGGCCCGCGCCTACGGTGGCCGGGGGCCACGACGTAGCCCCCGACGCCCGGGGCGTCTCCCGCGGCGGCCTGGGAGGAAAGCTGCTGCTCTTTCCTTCTCCCGCTCCGCCACCTCCTTCGCTAGCATCACTGCTTCGCAGAAGGTGGTGACGGCATCCCATTCCGTCTCGCTCCGGACCATGGCTTCGACCAGGGCCGGACGCGAGAGGTCGCCGCCGCCTATCGCCGCTACGAGGACACGGCGGTGCTCCGCCCAAGCAGGGCACACCTCCACGGTGTGTTCCACCGTGTCCTCCGGTCCATCCTCGCAGTGGGAGCACCCGGGCGTTTCCTCCCGCCCGATTCGGTGCAGGAACCTCCCGAACACACCGTGTCCGGTGAGGACCTGAGTCAGGCGGAAGGTGAGGATGCCGTGGCGTCTCTCAAGCCACTCCTCAAAGAGGGGTCTTATCGCCGCTATAGTGGCGTGCCCAGCACGGGGTTGCGACAGTCGCTCTCTCCATGTCGCCATGAGATCGTGCCGGAAGACTGTCCGCTGCGCGACAACTTGCCGCGGCAGCGGGGTTTCCCCCCGGCATAGTGCCTCC